CCAATGTTGGAGTAATTTCTTAGGGGCTTCTGGTAATTGTTCATCAGCTGCTGGGCACAGAAAGTTTCTGTAGAAAACTGAGTCAGGGGTAAGAAGTGAAGCCCCTTCCACCAGCTTAATACCTGAAGAGCTGAAAAACATAAATTTCACCTATACAGCTTGCACTTTAAAAATGTAAATGAAGTCTATACATGTAATTCCTCTGTGACAGCTTCCTCTATTAACAGACTAAGACATCCATCTGTCACAGGGAGAGAAAAACCTATTTCCCACTCAAAACCACAAACTCAACAAAATTGCTCAGAATACTCAGCATCACCTCAGTGCGTGGTTAGTAAGCAAACTGCTTAAAAATAACAAAACAATTGGCAGAACAAGACAGTGATCAGGGCTAAAGAGGAAAATGTGCCTTGAAATGGCATCAACTGCTGCAGATGCTGGCTTATTAGCATGACATTAATTACAGTTCCCACACCTTTGCTTCCTCCTGGAATAAAATGAAATATAAAAATAATGGTTTCCAGGATAAGTATATATGCCATAATCTCAAAGTACCCATCATAATGTATTTCCATTTTCAATCCCAGAAGTAAAAGGTAGAAACTTTTCATGTTGCAGCTTCCCCATCTTAGGCAAGGCCAGCCAGAGCAGTCCCTGCCAGCATCTCACTTGCCAGACATAAATTGAAGAGAGGAAGCCATGGGCCTGTCCCACTGGTTGATCAAATCCCATTTAATCATATCAAAGCATCATTTTTTTCATTATTCTGTTTGGTTGAGATTTAGAAACAAAAAGGCAAGCTTATTTTAGGAATCTGGCAATTAGAATTATATTAGTAGATCAAATTGACATTTGGAAATAATTATAAAAAGGGGAAAAAGGGTTTGTGCTCACTCTTGATCTTTTAGAATGTAAAAATGTGGTCTGATAAGCATATTTGCCATCTTGGAAACATCAAGGTTTATTGTGATTTATTGGCTGTTATTAAACCAACTCCTTATTTAATGATCTAAGCTGAGATCATGGCTCCAGAGAAGCAGACATTTTATATATATATATGCATATGAAATTTCTCACACAATTTTGATGCATTATTCAGCCAGTAATACTAGTGCTTTTCCTAAATTTTGTCAAAAAGCCAGGGAACAGCAGACTTCTAAGCTATTAATGGAAGGTCTTATTTACCAACAGCAAAGCAGCCTTGTGCTGGATGTCTCTGAGAGAGTAATGCTTCAGTTACTACTGGCTGCAGTATCTATCTTATATGATCTTGCTAAATTTTTGCTAGTGTAAGCAGGGGCTGACTGCCTTCCTTAGTAATTTGTGGTTGATTATTTGGTAAAGAAACAGCATAAAATAATAAAGTTTAAGCAATGAGAAATATTATAGATGTGATGCATATTTCACATTTATTCTATATATTATATAAATATATATGAAATATGTTTCTCCTCTCATTGGTTTATCTTTACTTCGCTGCTAACTCTTTAAAATGCCCTCTGAGGGTTCCAAACTGTTTTATTTCCCTTGGTCCCAGACAAGTTGTCCCACACCTGCCAGAGCTGATCCAGGTCCTGCCCCTATGCTGAGCTGGCACCAAACACGGCTGTTGGGAAGCTCAGAACTCCTGCCAGGTCAGTAGAACATCTTGGTTTAAGTGTCTTTCTTTTAAACATATCCAGGCTATTTGGTTTTCTTCAGTAACCACTTTTTTCTTAATTTTCATCCCTGTTTTTCCTTCTGAAAAAAACCCATTATCAGAAATGCAGAAGAGTGAAGACTGTGTGCATTCCTAGACAGCAAAATTACCATAGATTTCAGTATGTCCAGTTTTCCCTCTGAGCACTCCACCACATTTGCTATGCAGATGGGATTTCCTCCTGTACAGATCCTGCAGCTGGACCTGGGTGGGCAGAAGCAGCTGATTTCATTCCTGCTGCCCATAACCTCCCTGCCTGCTGAGCTGCACAAACTGCTGACTACTGAATCCTCAAGGTGAAGGACAAGACAAAAAAACATTTTCAGCAACTTGAAAAGATGGAATTAACAAGGCAGGAGAATGTAAGTCTAAATGCCAGGATAAACAATACAAAAAATTTTTTTTTTCCCTTTTCAGGAAGCTGAAGGGAAAATTGTCTGGAAATGTGCAGTGTTGATGGACAGCCTGCTAACAGTAAAAACAGGAGTCTCTGAAACACTAGGAAATAAAAATTCATGACCCAAATTAAGAAATATGAACTTGACAGGTCCTTCCTGTGGCTGTGGAGATGAGGGAAGTAGAAGAGGTTTCTCAAGTAAAGGATAATGAGGATGCAGAGAGCAGGTAATTTGTTTCTTCTCTCCAAGGCAGCTCAGCATGGGGATCCTGCCCCGCTAGTCAAGCCGTGCCCCCGCTGCGTGCCATGGGTGCTGCATCTGCACAGGGGCTCTTGTGGCACTGAGTGGTGCTCAGGAAAGCTCAAAGCTGCTTTCCTCAGCCTGCAGCAACTTCCCTCATTTACAGGAGACACTCAAGGGGATCAGTCCTGCTCCTGCTTTCCAGCAGAACAAACCCAAGTCATGCTGGAATGGTTCATCAGCTGCGAGTTTGAGGATGTAACTGCGTTTGCCTCACCTCACCTCACCAACACAGGCTGGTTCCCTCATGAAATATTCCAAGGATTTTGTCCAGTGTGGCTTCAAAAGTGTGAGGTTACAGGCTCCTTCCACTTCTGATCTAGTGACATTCAAGGTCAGGAAGTTTTCACAGACAAGGAGTTTCAGTTTGCCTGAATGACGTTACTTCATTCTAATTGCATTCTTATAAATTAAGGTTTCATAATTATTTCAGTCTTGCTGCTTAAGTCTTCCAAACCTTTTTTTTTGTAACTAATGTTCCTCTAACCCTAAGAGATAATATAACTATGCTAAACTCAGTTACCACTGTTGCTCTCCTCTCCAAAATAAGATCTTTTGCTATTTTCTGCAGAACTTCCTGTATCCTGTCTCTTGCTGTATGCATAACACAGGATGAAGACTGAAAATTTAGCCTGCTTCATCTCTCCGAACTGGAATTCAGATACTATACATCTTCAAATACATAAAACAAATACCACACTTCTGCCATGCTCAGGGCAAACTACTGAAGCAAATTTATGCTCACTGTCTAGGGCTCCCTGTGGAGGAGCCCCTCCCTCGTTTTGGAAGAGAACCATTCACTTTAGAAAATGAGCTTCAACTTTTTGTAAATTCAGGTGATTAAGAGAATATGTTCCTCCAACCCAGCACAGAAACAGGCTTATCCCTTTCATGTGTTTCCTTATTTTTCAGCCTGTAAAATGTTTCACCAGAGGAAGGGGACACCATACAAACCCCTATTGAGTTATGATGCTGTAGAGCAGAAAGACAAAGCTAGCAAGATGTATCTACTTTTTTTTGTCAAAGTTCCAAGACACTGGCAAAATGATGAGTTCCACAGCACTGCTGTGGCAGATTTTATACCAGCAGTAGCATTAATTGTAATAATCAGCAGGAATTCAATGAAGGATAGTTGAGAATGGATGTGCCATCCCAGCAAGGGCAATCAAGTAGCCCAGTGAGACACCGTGTTCCAAGATTTTATCCTCACAGACCTGACTCCAAAGGCACACATCTAATTCCAAAGGCAACCAGTCAAAACATGTAAAATTTAAAATTTCACACTCTCTTTTTGGCGTTTCAAAGAAGCTGATGACACCCGGAAATTTTAATCCACCATATGCTTGATTCCTGAACTGCTCTTCAGTTCTTTCAGGATTCAAAGGGAGCCTCAGCTGATAAAAGATGCACCAGGAACACAGTTTAGGCTGAAAGGGCTCATACAACTGGGAACAGATTCACTTCACTGAGCATTAATCCACTTTAATCCAACTGGATCACATACCAAACCAGCAAAATCCTTGAGACTTTGACAGCACCAGTTCTGCTGCTATTTAAAGGTTAACAAAGTCAGCAGATCCTGTGTTACTTGTATCTACACTGAGAACTCTGGTTGATAATCTGTACAAAGAGTTAATGAATATGAAGAAGAGACCACACACTGATAGCACTCTTTTTTTTTCCCCCAATAGGACACAAGAGCCCCAATATCTTTTATCAGAATGCAAGTGCCATAAGATAATCAAGCTTCACTAACTCAGTCATTTCAAGAATATTAAAGTAAGAGAAAATATAAGATGGAAAACATTCAATTTTGATACAACTTCCTCACTGCTTGAGAAAGCAAAGTCTCCTCAAATCTCTGAAACCAAGAGGATGGGAGAAAGATGCAGAGAGCTATAATGAAAGCTGTCAAGTGCATCATCTTGCTGTAGCACTGTTCTTATTAAAGATGTAAGAGCACTTGCAGACGTTAAATACCAAGGAGGAACAACTTAACATGCAAGTGCAGCCCTCAGAGGGGATCCTAGAGAGCAACAAGATTTTTAAAAGCTGATGAAAACTAGAAGGAAATCAAAAGTAGAAAAAACACACAACACACACAGTTTTAAAGTATATATACAAAAACATATATAAACCCCTGTGTATAAAAGCCTTCCTCAAAGGCCCTGAAGGAAGAAATGATGCTTGCTCACCCCCATGACATTTGTCTCCAACACACCAATGTTGTGACTGACACACTCTGCACTCAAATGTAACAGGAAACCGAGGCCTTGGCCAGCTGCAGCCTTTCTGGAAGGATATCAGGGCTCCCAGGAAAGAGCTGATGTTAATCTGTGCCTGGGATGGCTCCAGCCTGCCCATTTCCTTAGGTCTCCCATTTTCCTGGGAGCATTTTCCTCCCATTTCCCAAGAGATGCTGATTCAGTCCAAGCCCTGCACAGCACAGTACAGGAAACACGTTTATCCCAGAAGATGCCGTAGTAAGAGAATAAATGAGGACTTCAGGATCAAAGGCATGATGTAAAATATTAAAACATATTCTGTCTCAAGGTCACCCATACAAAAATTATTACTGATTCTGTAATAATAGAAGCAGTCGCTTCACTGAAATTAATTTATTTTGAGAATATCCCTTTTAATCCTCCATGCATTTTTTAGCACAAAAAGTTGAGTTTTACCACAACCTCCTTCATAAAACTTAATATTGTATGTCTGGTAATGTGGCTGTTTCAAAAATTCCTCATTGGAAATTCCCACATCTGTGAAACCTTGGCAACACTGTTAGTAAGTGACCTACACAAAGTTTAATAGAAAATTTTTACTGAATATCCTCTGTTTAATGTAAACAAGGCAGGAGGCAAAACAAGGAGTATATATCTTATATAATTACACTATTTTACAGGGCACAGAAAGCACTGAGGACATGGTTTGAAAACCCTGTATGATATGCAATATCAGATATGGATTTTCCAGGTAGTCCCAGGTCTACTCCAGGACCCTTTAAGTCACCAAGTCCTTCAGGTTAGTATTTCTTCCAGCAAGACAAAGAGCACTAATAAAATGTCACCTGTGAGATTGCACAGCAGGTTATGGTAGAAATTACCATGCATTTACAAAGCAATTCCATGATTACTTGTGCCCTGTAAAATGAAGTGTGGCAATCTTTACACTAATCATAGTGTAAGCAAGCTCAGGATTCTGGTCCTTTTATATATATATGTATATATATACATAGGTGATGTACAACCAGACTCAAGCTGTGCATCAAGTCACAGCTTTTATATTGCACAGACAAATATAGAGTAAGAACATTACACAGAGAGAATCTGAATACCAGGAATATTACAGTCATAGGAGAAACTCAGGACAAACTTGTTCTACCAGAGCTAGCACATGGCTTATTACAAAATTTTCTAAATCAGAGTCTAAATCAAATACAAAATATAAATAAAAAAAAAAAAAAAAAAAAAAAAAAAAAAAAAAAAAAAAAAAAAAAAAAAAAAAAAAGGTAAAACAATGCTTCTATTTACACACATGTGCATCAAGATTAGAATGTGGTTTGGATCTGCTTTTTGAAATAAAAAATTATTCTAGTATCCCATCTCAACTATTTCAATGTAATACCAGTGGCCCCATTCTCTAAGGTGATGAGCATGTGTCTTTCCCACTGACATCTGGAGGATCTGCACAAGCCATGAAATCTTCGGGCCAAGTATTTTCTCTGGTGGCCCTCTCTGGGTAATAAATAACCACACACAAACACATGCACATAGAAACAAAATGGGCTCCTTAATGACATGCATAGATCAAAAAGGTGAAAACATGGACCTGAACTAACTTCTAACCATTAAAAAAAAAAGTGCATGAAAAATATCACCACAAAAATAATTAAATGAGTTCCATCTCTTAAGAAAGATTAAAGCACTTTTACAAAAATAAAGGTCATTGTCATCAGGTATGGTAATAAGGGTTTGTAAGCAGCACTCACAAAAGCAGTTTAGGCTAAAGCAACTTTAAGGATTGCTTCACTTGTGTGGGAATGGATCCATGTCTTATAAATTTATCAACTAAGTAACATTTGGTTTGCAAGAGAACATCACCAATGTCACTGGAGACTGAAGAATCATAGCCTGATTCTAAGAGTGATCATAGTTCTACTTATTTTTCTCATGGACAAACTTAAGGAACTTGTGTTTGCAGCTCTGCAGTTTTGCATTAGAACACCACAGAGGCTGCAGCCTTTCAGTGTAATGAGTTCAGCTACCAGTGAAAATAGCAAAACAAAGGAAGTGATGATAATGCTTTCATTTGAGATCAGGCAACTCTTGAATGACTTTATCAATTCTTATATTACTTAGAATGCTCTTGCAAGTTTTGTTTAACATTTTGCTCACTTTCCTTTTTAATAGTATTATCACTTCCAGTTTTCACTGAAATTGGGACATCAGAAGTATTCCGGATCATATGCTTTAAAAAAAATAAATAGATGATTTGAGGAAAAAGTAATTAAGCTCAAGCAAAACCAACAAAGACCCAATTCAGTAAAGCATCAGCATTTCTGCTCAACAGCTTACCTTTGTTCATGTAAAAGACTGTGATTTAAGGAAAAATTACTTGAAATTAAGCTTATGTTTAAATGTTTTGCTAAATTGGGACCTTATAAATAATAAATGTATGTATTAAACATCACTCTGCATAGACATCAACATGTTCTAAACTATGTGTCAGCTCCTAATGCAGACTGTCTGCAATGCAGATCACTAAAAATTATTTGCTACATTCTAGGTATGTTTCTAAAGAACAAAAATAAAGTGTAATTTTTTTCAAACTTTGTCCTACTATGCTACTTGGACCTGAAAACACTTTGGAGCTAAATGCAGAAAAAACCCCAACAGGTGAAGAAGTAAAACATGCTTTTGTTTGCCAGAGAAATGCAACAGTTTTGGCAAAAGTGTCCCAGTACAGGGAGCCACTGAATACAGATTCTACCTGCCAAAATGTTTCCCCAGTACCAGAACTGCTTTCTCCAGCTGAACCTGTACTGGAAGCTTTTACAGCAGGATGCTCTTCACTGGTGACAAGAATAAATTTAGCCCATTAACTGTGACACTGCTCTAATTAACCTGCTAACTTAAAAGGTCTCTTAACATCCAGCTTCCATAAATACTAAAAAACAAGACCTCAAAAGCAAGGAAAAAGAGCAGAATCTGATTCTAGGTACAGTCATGTAAATCCAGAGGAATTCTAGTGAGTGAATAAATTAGTCCATGTTTGCATATGAGCAATGACATCTGAAACGAGCATCAGCTGTGCAAAGAGGGGCAGGAAAGACAAACAAGCAAAGACAATGTAAACAGAAGGAGCTGAGCTCTACCTGGCCTTGTTCAAAGGAGGGCAAAGGGGGCCTACCCTTGTGTGTGGAGCAGGACAGGTCACTGGGTGTGACTGCAAGGTCCAGCACAGCCACCTGCCAGTGCACAGGCTGCTGGCAGTGAGTCCTCTGGAGGACTGAGGCAAAGCACCCTGAAGTGGCCTCTGCTTGCAATGCCAGTGCCTGCCCTGGCTGATGGCATTCACAGGGAAAAGGAGTCACTGAAAGGCATTTCTGCATCCCAGCACTCTGAAAAGCAGGTGCAAATTTTGGTCCTAAGTAAGTCATCAATGCTTTAACTGAGTTGACATCACTGTGATGGTTAGATAAGCAATAAAAGTATCTCTCAAAATAACAGAATGTTTATGCTGCCAATTTTCAAGGCACAAAAGATTCTTAAACTAATTCAGACTAATACCAATTTAAAAGAAATTAAAAATACTGTTTCAGCAACAACTACTGATGACCTATCATTAACCTATAATGTAAAGGTGACATGAGTCAAGCAACTACAGTTCCCATGTAAAAAGCTAAAGCAAATCTAGTTACATGGGTGACCTGGAGATCAATCACTTGGAATGACAGAGACAAACATGCTACAAACATGTACACTTCACATACATTTCTTATGGATGTGATGCCGAATCAAGATTAACTTCTTTAGTATTGATTTTAGACTGATAGATTTCTTGGAGTAAACCACTGAGGAATCGAGCTCAGAGCTGTACTTAAGATCTACCAAGAGCAAAATGATCCCTCATGAACACATCCTGTTGTATATGGATTGGTGGATTTTTTGAACTTTTTCATTTTTAATAACATACATTGCAACTATAGGTGTGTTTTTCTTTCATATACCCAACTGAAAAGAAAAACAATTAAGACAAAAATGTTATAAAATTAATTTGCTTTTTTAAAAGTAATATGGTCACAAAGAGCAAATTGGTGCATGTGAGCCCCAGGACATACAAGAGCCCAAACTCTCTAAACATCATCATCAGAATAACCAAGGTTTGATGTCTGTGGTTCTTCATGCAGCTTTTGCAGCTCTTCACACAGTGTCTAGAAATGCTGTGTATTGGTTTCTCCCCAAATGCCTTTGCTCATATTCCAAGTCCATTTGCAATCTCAACATGCGGTGAAAGCAACTTTGTCTTCCCAAGATCCCCTGCCCCTTTGCCGGGAGGCACCACCCTGTCGCTGGGTGCTGGCAGCGGCCCCGGGGTGGCTCCCGGCGCGGGGCTGCTCAGGGCGTGGCCGAGGTGTGGTACTTGACAAAGGCGATCGCCGCCAGCTCCTTGCAGAACTCTTCCAGCACAATCACGCCCTCTAGTAACGTCATGTGGTCAATGCTGGGACAGGAAGAGAAGGGCAGGGAATCAGAACTGGCACACACAGACCCAGCCACGCGTCCCGGAGAACGTGCAAAGTGGTTACTCACATGGGTCCTTCTGGCTCCAAGCCCAGCAGGCGTTTTCTGACCAGCAGAAGTTTGGGAGTGAAATCTGGGATGCGCTGGATTCTAACCATGAGGTCCCCGACGACCTGTGAAGCCCAGGCCATCAACACACAAAGTTAACAACTCTGCAGAGTGCCTGGCAGCAAGGTGCAATGCAGCTTCAGTGCCCACTTCAGCATCCTCACAGAACAACCTGCAGAGAGGCTGCTCTGCCCAAAAAGAGGGTGAGTGAGTGCAGAAAGTAAAGAAATACACAAGCCTTACTTGCCCTTGTCACAAATGGCATTACTTATTTTAATTGCATCAATGATTAACTGTTTGTTTAAATGTTGACATAGATATACAACCAGTGAATTCCTGAGCCTAGGGAAAGCACAGGGGGAGAGAGTGAAGACTGTATTTTGGAATGGGGAGGGCTGCTGGGGAGAAAGGGAGCCAAGCCCTCTGTTGCTATTGGGCAGGCATCACTAACAGGCTCCTGACCAGCTTAGTAACAGCTGGTGCGTGGGGTAAACGAGGGATTTTGACTGAGGACACTGCAGTGTGACAGGCACCCAGCCAGCACTTCTAGGATGCAAGTCTGGCAGGAAGAGATGGAACTGGAGAAGGGGACTTCTGATAAATCCAGGACTTAATTGTCATGAACACCCTTCATCAGAAAAAAAACCCAGTACGAGCAGAGATACCCATCTAGGCCCGATCTTGATTCAAAATCAGCTTTCAATGACAAACATTTACCAACTTAAAATACTCAGTAACCACTACCACTAATGACAAAGTTACTAAATATATTACTGCTGTACAGCCATGTGTAATAATTGCGGTGTTTACTCACCCTGACAATCACAGAGAAGAGAGACTTGCAGCCAGAGGCGAGGTTGACGTAAGGATCCAGAAGGTATTCGTGTATATGAGGATGGGGAAACAGGGACAGTTTGGACAACACTGATGTAACTTGTAAATTTACATCATAGGGCTGCAAAAAGAGGGAAGCACAGTGCTTAATTATTTTCATGCTGGCTTCTTTTCATCCACCTCATGTTTATATAACTACTAGAACTTTTTACACAGGGTTATGAATAAATAAAGATAAGAAGTTCGATTAGAAGACAGGCTCGACCTCTGCTTTTCACAACAGCAGTGCTGTGAATGTGACAGCTGGGCATTAGATCTTATTATCTGTATTGCTGCTACAACCACTTGAAGCCTTTGCACACTTGTTTATTGCAGGGCAAGTCCTCTTCCCGTAAAATATTTCTTCAGCTAAAGAAATAGCAAGGAATCAGCTTAGATTAAACATCTGCTTGCTTCTCCTGGGAAATTGTAAAATATATGAGCTCAGGAAATTGCCAGGGACAAATGCATGTTTACAGCTACTAAGTTATTTATCTTCTACTCTTTTTATTTTTTTCTGGGAAAGAACCACTGCAGAAGGCCTGGCCATCTTGTGGCAGCAACTCATGGTAGATGGGACCAGTCCTGGGCTGGGAAATTCTGAGCTTCTTGTCTACCTCCCTTCCTCAATGTCTATATGTCTAAGCTCTCATTAGCTGACTCACCAGAGATCTGACACTTCATACACCTGCCCACACACAACCATCTCCTGCCATCTCAGATGCTCTTAATCATCTGCTGGTCTCTTGATGATTCCATAGAGGGTAGATTATGCAAGATCTGTGTTGTAACCACAAACTTCTGGGAATATCCTTAACACCACAAAAATGGCAACAGATACCTGAGCTCAGGCACCTGAGTGGAGCTTTCAGTCCACAGAGTGAAGGAAGCTGAGTTGGTGATTCACTTTGCACTGAAAGAGACACCTACTTGAGTTTCAGCCTAAGAGCTCCATGGACTACTGGGGCTGCTCTCGCAAAATTTCCACTGACTACGTGTCCATGTAAGTAATACTTAGGTAACTTATTCTTGAATTTGTTACCACACACTGTTGCATTGCAAAGTAGCCTCATAAATCTTTTGAAATGAAAGCACTTATTTCTTCCAGTCAGTGGCAGTTATTTCTGTACTTGGCACTCCAGCAATAGATTCATCCCAGTCTCCTAACAAATGAAGCTTTCAGCCTCTGGACCACAAATGTTACAGGTAAAAGAGATCACTACATTTTGAGTTATTATTGCGGAGTTACTCTGCAGAGAGACAAAAATTCCTTCCATAAATCTATTCAGTGCCTACCTAGCTGAACTGTAGGAGAAGGTCTTTAGAGCTGTTTGAGTCAGCCAATTCATTAGGAAGCTTTGGAGGTATGAGCATTATCTGGTGTTCACAAGAGGAGAAGGAAACAAAGGAGTAACACGTGCTGCATTGTTCTGACAGATTGCTGTTGTGATTCCAACTAATTGAGAGCATTAAAGAAAGCTGCTTCTTCACACAGAGCTTTTATTTCTGTCCATATGTCAGCAGACTCAGTTAAATGGCCCCTTATCAGATAAAGTCTAAAAAAATTCCCTCTAGCTAAAAAGATTAAACCCAGCAAATTTGAAGTTCAGGAAATTAAAAAAAATTCTTAGAGTACAGTCAGTTCTACAGAAATTTGTAATGCTAGCAGGAGGAAGAAGGAAGTGTCTAGTGCCTGAGGTATTTGAAACAAGTTACTTCCCTTGTGTGCCTGAGCTAACTTCTGTCAGAAATGAAATTAGTGAGAGCTACCCCCTCTGCAAAGCTTTCTGGTATCACAGATTCATATCAGAGTGCTCCCATGAACACTCACAGAACTGACCTAGAGGCTACTCCTGGCTTCCTGCACATGTTCCCTGTGCATTTATATGTGCAAATGGCTCTTGTCAGGCTTATGACCAGTAAATGGCACATTATAATATGACACTATAATAGAGTGATGGGAATTCACAGGACCTGATGGTGATCCACTCTTTAAAAGTGATGAAAGTATCAGAAATGGAATCCTTAACTTGTTTTCTCTTACCTGATCAAGAATCCTGCCCATTCTTTCAAACAGAACTTTCAAGAAGTGTCCTTCAAAAAATGAAGCTTCTAAATTGCACTTTTCCAAAGATCTGGGAGATCCAGGCCACTCCCACCGTAAGCAAATGACACAATAATCCCGGAACTACAAAAAAGTAGTGAGGAAAACAGACTTCAATCTCCATGGAAACCATTTAATTTCCTCTGATAGTCCATACACCTTAAAACCATCATCTGTAGCTAAATGACAAATCTAAGCTCAAAAAGATCAGTCATTCTAAAGTAAACACTATCAGTAAAACCACTATCTGCAGGCACCTCATTTTCCTGGGGATATTTATGCTACTAGGGTAGTTTGAGAAGCAGTGAGTGGAGAACAGAGCTCCCAAAAAGCAGCTGGAGCCAAAACACAAAGCAACACCAACAATACACAAACTAATCAGGGTTCTTTTGAAGTGGGAATTGCATTCTTAACCATCTTCTTGAGAGTAGATTTCCACAATTCTGCTGCATTTTGTGCAGCTGATCTTGCTATCCAGACCATTCTGCTCTCTAATTCCCAGGACAATAAAGGCACGTGTACATGCAGAACACACAAATTAAAAGTATTTCAGGGCTTCCTCTTCCCTCTCTTTGTTTCCTAATACCCCTGGCAGTCTTTCTCTACCTTGAGCCATATTTACTTTCTGCTGCCTGATGCCTCAGTTGCAAGGAATTACACCTTGAAAAGAGCACAAGTTGACACAGAGAAAATAAAGAACACAAGAAGAAACAGAAGCAAAAGAGTCAGAAAACAGACTCAAAAATTCTGCACTGATTGTAGCTTACCTACCTGTGCAGGCTTCCAGCAATAGCAATAAGGAAGCAGAACAGCTATTTGGATGTAATAACAGCAACAGGCAAGGCTACTCTTAGGGGGGAAATATTTTAACAGTAGCCATATCATCATCAGGAAGTGACAGAAACCAATTCTGCTCTCTAATAACTCCCAGTACACTCTTTTTCCCAAGACATGAATAAAAGACAAAGATGATAAGTGGTTTCTGGCATCCAAGAATACAACATAGGGGAATACAGATGAAGTAATATAAATACAGAAATCCAAATGTCCCATCTTTAGCAGCTGATAACGTAATTCCAAGGTTAGGGAATTTTTGAATTACCTACTAAATACAGCCGTCAGTTACTCTGTTCCTTTGCATCAATTTTCTATTCTAGAAGATTCACAGGCTTTCATTAAGAAAGCTGCATACAAACAGTGAATGTCCTCTGACCAAGGAAACTGTGTTTGTAAAAGCAAAACTTGCACTTATTTCTAAACAGTAAATCATAAAGCTTTCCCTGCATACCCCACCTCCCAACTTCAAACCTGAATGCCTTAGGCTGCGCATTCCCTGTGATGAGCCTTTATTTGCAAAGTCCCAGATTGCATAACTCCTATGCAGCATTTTAATTTCTCTTTAGTTCTTTCAAACAGCTTGGCAGGCAATTCTCCAAGAGAATGCAGATAAATGCAGAAGCAAATTAAGAATCTATCTGCAGTTCAGGTTTTCTCTCACTGTATTTGTTATATGAATATTAATGCATTTAATGTCATCCATTATTCCCACTAGTGCAATACAAGGTGAATTCATCATCAAAAGATCTCCAAAGGTAAGTTTTCATTAAAAAATGAAAATTGAATTTTCCTATCTTCCATTACCAAAAGATGAATTATTAGGACTATTTACAGAAACATTTGTATATTCTCACCAGCATTTCAAGTTCTCAAGGACTAAGGAAGAGTTCACTGACTTACTTGTCTGTGGGCATCTCTGAGGTAAGTATCATAACCTGTACCCTCCACATGGTATGATGACTTTGCTTCATCAGGCACAAGACAGAGAAAACTGAAGAGAAAAAAAGTACATTAATGACTATATTCCACAGAGCACCAGATCAATACTTTCTCATAATCTGTAGCAGTGTACATACAATGCTGAACTGCCTGGCCAATTAATCCACAGACTCTACCATAACTTTATGTGAAGAACAGAGAACACAAAATCTTTTTAAGCCTACCTATTCCAACTACTATTCGTAATAACAAGGTATTTACTTGAGAACTTTTGTATCTGGCACTAGAGGTAAAGTCATCAGTGGAAGCATTTTCTGAGAATCAGCAGACAGAATGGAGATTAAAGGGAATATTCACATTCATAAATAGGTTAAGTATTTGCTAAAGGTCAGACTCCATCTTACTAGAGCTAAAACAAAATATACTTGGGAATAAATGAACCAAAAGAGAAGAAGAATAACAGTTAAAATTCTTCTTAAACTAATTCATAGGTAGTTTTATTTACCAGTTTGTTGTGGCAAAAAAAATGAACATCTATGACACACCAGGAGTATTTGCATATAAATGTCCCTGTTACAACTATAATTGCCTTTGCCAGTTGTGTAGTCAAATACTCTGTCCTTATTACTTCACCAATATCTGATGTAAAATGTATCAGGAAATTCTGAATAATATTAGTGACTTAAAAAAAATAATTAAACCCACTGAAATTTCTGGATAGCAAAATAAAACCCAGTCTTTGTACTCTTGATTCCAAATTTCAGCCTTCATTATACCCTAAGAACTATTGGACATTCCTGTAGAATTTATATGCAGAAATATGTAGTAGCTGACTTTTCATGTGGAGTTAATCTTATCTCAAAAAATACGAATTTGCAGGACACTACAAATCAGAAAACATTTCTATTCCCCGATGCAGGTTACGTGAGGTGAATTTACCAGAGTGTTCTTTGTGTCTTTGCTCCAAACCATGTCCACCATAAACTATAAATAGTGACACTGGGGGAGAGGGCAAGAAGTGATGATGTCACTGAGTCCTGGCTGTCCCTGGGCTGTTTGCCTCCTTTGGCTAACACCTTTGATTATTTCTGGGCAGGCAGATAGGTCAGCACTGACACACCAGTGCTGCTCTGCTACCAAGTATTGACAGAGCAAACAGCCCTCGTCCTAATATTAGTTCCTAAGAGAATTACCAGCACTAAGTTGCTTAGAGCAGAGCTTGGCCTCTTTGTGATATCCAATTTGCAGTGAGTCTGACAGTCTGAGGTATGTCACAGGTGACACAGGTGCCCCCTGACTTTCAGGGAACAGGTTACCTCTAGCATGGCAATTATTTCCTTTTATGTATTTGTTTAAGGAACATTGAAGTCTTAAGGAAGTTTGAGGGTTTTTTTCCCCGACTCCCCGACTTGTCCAGGATAGTCAAGTCCTACAACAGCATTTTAAGTACAGCAAATATTTATGCAAAAAGCAACTTTTATAATCAATGAGGCTTTCACTGTGAATTCTGAGTATTCAACCATTAGCTGCAAAGTTCTTCTATTTTTCTCATTTATGCTGAATTAATGCAAGCTCTAATCTTTCAGAAGTAGCTTTCTGATAAAATGCCACAATTTCCTTCTGTGGAGTCATTTTCCCAGCTGGCACAGAATAACATCCATTACAGAGTACACATTTAATTTGCACAGTGTGTGCAGACACCCACACATTCAGACATTTCCTCAAGTCTTTGTTTCAACTCACCTATTTACAATTTTATGAACTTCAGTCTTCCCATCATTTTTTGGATGTTCTGGACTGACAGGTGGAGAAGCACTGAGCCACTCCTGAGCTGACAATGTGTTATCTGGAGACAGATCAGTAAATAATGGATCTTCCTCCAGATCTCTGTGAAATTACATCAGACAAAAACATAATCATCCACAGAATGTTATGGAAGTCAGGAAAATCTCTGGGTCACAAGACAAGCTGTTTTTTCCCTCTGAACAATGAGCATGTTTTCCAGAGCATAACAATATCCACAATGTATTACATAATTAATATGCAGAAATACCAACCTTTGCAAATACCCAACAATGTGAAGAACAGATGACACATTTTTGACTTGGACAAAATTACTGCATCAAGTCACTTAAAACTTCTTAGCTACATTTTTCACATGAGTGAGTTCTACTCCAGGACATTATTTAAATTATTCCAGATGACTAAAAGGGTTTGTGTGTTCAGTCCTTACCTCCTCTTCACTAAAACACTGAGTTGTAAGAGTTACCTAGCATATACATGTTATGTAGTGCCTCAGTACTTTATTTATTTATTTTATGTAGTGCCTCAGAAATGTTCTTCCATCAAAAATGACTAGGAACATAAATGTAAGCTAAACACTGAGGTTATTGATTGCAAGAATATTCTCACTGATTGCAATAAAATGTGCACAGATTTAAGCTTGGTAGATGCATAAATAAATTGAGACACAAAGACCTCTGAGTGTCTATTGTTCTGCAAAGAGACTTGTGGTAATTTTAGATCTTCTGCTCCTGTTCTAAGAGTTTCCATAAGTTGCTGATGTAGGAATTTCTGCATCACTTTATGGATATGGATTAATACATAGAGCACTCAAGTGCTCTCCAGGCTCACTTTTCTTTCAATTACTGAAAAAAACCCCGTTTTGTTCTAAAAATAAAGATACAAAATACTTGTTGTGAAAACTTCTCTTAAAAATGAAACTTACACTGCTCCAGCAATCTGTCCATTCTCTACCACATCTTTATCTTCTTGACAGGGAGGCTTGTATTCCATGTAGTTTCTTTCTTCCAAATTTCTCAGAACCAAATTATAAAGAATGTGCTCATTGGGTTTTTGCAAAAGGTGCTCAAACATTCGTAAAGTCATTATGCTGATCTGCAACAGAAAGAATAAAAACTCAGTAAGCTGATGCACTGCTGCCCTGTGCTTTTTAACTTTTATCTGCTTTGTCCATCCAAGAACATGGCAATTACTTCCTGACATTATGGAAGGAAAAAAAATCATAAGGAAAAAATAGGAAATTATGATGCTACCTGTGGTATAAACATGGATGAAGAGTTCACATACATTTGAAAAATCAATGTGGGAATGCTTTTTTTTCCTGTAAAAAAACCCAACTTGTTCTGAAATCTGTCAAAATAACAATACAGAGAACACACAGAGAACTCAGAATTTAGCTTTCTTTCTACAGTTAGATCCATGCTGGAAGATGGTTATCATTGTGCAAATGAGACCCACAACAGGACTTAAAGTTAGTAATAAATACCCAGAAAAAAATAAAGTAATACTGGGATATTGTGACTAGATCTATAGGCTAAGATTTTTACACGGAGATGTTTTGTAGGCTTTTAAAGGAACACTGACTTTAAGCAATATAAAGACAATTTTTCAAAACTGCTTGATAGTGCTTAGCTTTGCAAAGATAACTGATTTACAGAGATAACTCATTCTGACAAGGTGAACAGGTAAGCATACTGAAAAATGGATATGAGAAAACACAGATTTGTATTTCAGGCAAGCTTGGTTTTTATTTGAAAAAGTAGAGGCTTGTTTCATGGAAAAAATGAAACAAGAAGCTTCTAAGGAGGGATTTTACTGAAGTAAATTGTTGTTTAATGTTGCTTAGTGTATGTAAAGAGCTTAAATTTATCACATCATCTTTTAATTGGCA